CTCTGAGTGAACTAAACTGTCAGGAGTTGTCACATTTAGAAAAGCTCACCTCTGAGTGAACTAAACTGTCAGGAGTTATCACATTTAGAAAAGCTCACCTCTGAGTGAACTAAACTGTCAGGAGTTATCACATTTAGAAAAGCTCACCTCTGAGTGAACTAAACTGTCAGGACTTATCACATTTAGAAAAGCTCACCTCTGAGATTGCGAATGAAAGTACAGTCTGGAATCGACCACAGCTTGCACAAACCCGACCTGGCACGGAGAAACGAGGGAAAAAAACCAAACATTACCTTTAAACCAAATTCTTCATATCTAAACTCAAGAGACGTTAGCTGGAAGATTATCATGCAAGACTTGCGAAGAGTAATCTCTGTGTGAACCTAGCTGAAACCTTATGCTGGTGGTAATATGATTGTGGCATGATTGATTATTTTGAAGATCTTTCTGAACTAGATGCTGGTAATGGGGAGGACCACCAATAGATCTTTAACGTGCCTAACTTGCATACGAGTGAGTGGGATATGGAATGTGATTCTGACGACGATAAGAACGAAGGTGTGAATCACTCAGGAGCTTTTTTAGTTTTAGTAGAGGTTTTACGGCGCTTGCAACTCCATAAGGTCATATGAGCGCCACAAGATTAGAGGTGTTACAAGAGAGTAACAAACATAAAAAAGTAGAAGGGGAGATAAGGAAAATAGACGTTTGATAGGAAAGAAGAAGCAAACCACACCAGAGCACCCGCCAGCCACCCAGGAGGTCAGGCAGAGGGGCACAGTAGCCTCAGGAGGTCAAGGCTCAAAGGGATAAAAGTCAACAGAGTTATATGGTCACATAAAAAAGTAAAGATTATTTCAATGAGTAGACCAACAACATGTACATGTGATTGCAGACCTGCCAACCCCACCATAACCAAAATGGGAGGTCTTTTTTTCTCAGAATCCTCCCTAAAAATCAGAACCTGAGGGAAAAACCAGAGGCCCCAGTATCCCAGTAGATTATGACTACGTTACTTACTGACCATGGCAAATAAATGTGAGCATTACAAATGCACATAAATAAACAAGATTAAAAATGTCTTTTCAAATCATATACGATAAGTTGAATGAATATTGCACATAAACTTGTATATTTTCACATCATTAACAATAACTTTCGTTTGACGGAAGGAAACAGAGTTCAAGACACAAAAATCAGACTTTAGGAGGAGGAGGAGGAGGAGG